GCCTACTATAGTGACTGAGACGCCCTCCAACTTCTCAGGTGAAAAGCAATGAACATTTCCAAAAGAACCCAAATCCCGAATAAATCTGTTAAAAGACTAGAACTAGCACCAAAGATCGTGTATACACGGTCCTTGCTAGTACCATGCCCACCATAGCTAAGCACGACACATATAGCTCTTGGAGTGCCCGTTGTTTTTCTTAAACGTTTTGGGTTACGGTGTCTTGTAATGGATACTGTAATCTAACTTCATGAAAACCCGCAGTGCGTTGTAAACATGGCCTAAAAAATTATGCGACCATCGAAATTGAGAGAGGGGAGGGGGGGGGGAATTATACCTCAAAAGAAGTGTAGAACGAGGGAATACCTCCATGTGATGTCAGCGTGCCAACAATGTTGATACATTTCGTGGGAAATTGCCATGGGACTAAGTTCATTCCAAAAAGGCTCTGCGCAACATGAAAAGTCTTTTGTAGCCAACCCTATCAAAGAGAGGCCATTATTCCCAAAGCTGAATACTGTCAAATGTGTTACGGGGCTATGACCAAGCTAGACAGGTCACCATGCACTGGCGACTGCTACAAAAAATAACTAAAGGGTTGAATGGCTAAGGACGGTTGAGTTTATCAGAATGCGGAGCAGCTGAGCTAAAAGTATGAGAGGAACAGACAGACAGACGTATAGATAGATAGATAGATAGATAGATAGATAGATAGATAGATAGATAGATAGATAGATAGATAGATAGATAGATCGATCGATCGATCGATCGAACGACGGACGGACGGACGGGCGGACAGACAGACAGACAGACAGACAGACAGACAGACAGACAGATAGATAGAAAGATAGATAGATAGATAGAGAGAGAGAGCAAAAGAGAGCGAGAGATAGATAGGGAGATAGAGAGAGAGATAAAAAGAGAGATTTAAGAGATAGATAGATACATATATGTACATGTACACAGAACAGTACATGAAAAGACAAGTTCAAACATCTTGATTGAGGCATTTTCATATTTAATTTTATTAATCAACAAATAAACATATCAACAAATTAAGGAAAAAATATTTTTGAGAACTTCTATTCCATAATTCTAAATATACAGAAGGTATAGAAGAAAAAACTTGGGCAATTAGCGCCTCACATTTTTTCGTTCAATTTCCAGAACTAATGAAAGGGGTATTTTTTTATATTTTTTTTTAGTAAGAGTTTTACGGCACTTGCAACACAATAAGGTCATATAAGTGCCAAAGATTAGAGGTGTTACAAGAGAGCAACAAACACAAAAAAGAAGGAGGGGAGATAAAGACAATAGATGTTTGATAGGAAAGAAGGAGCAAACCACACCAAAGCACCCGCCAACTACCCACATTTTTTTAATGTGAGAGCCTACTTTTTGTACATGTGCAGAAGAAAAGAGCCACACACAACTTTTTACACTTTTTTTTAGCTCTCACTCTCAGTGCTAAGCAAACAACTTAAACAACACACGTATATGTCAATAGGATAGAAAGCTTGGCAGGTTCATATTTCTAAAAAGTGAAGAGAGACTGACAAACAGGTTTACGTATAAAAATACAGACACCATAATTATTTGAGGCCTGGCAGACATTCTAAGAATATCTTTCAGAATCTAAAGAAGTTTAATAGGCGAAAAATCAAGTCAGATTTGATTGACATGCAGGGCAGTTCGAAAAGTTATTTTTATTTTTCAGGTACATGAACTTGAAAAAAAAAAGTAGTTAAACAAAAAACAACTGGCTCATCACTCACTACTATTAATATTATGAAAACGGTATTTTTAAAAATTTTAGTAAGAATTTCACGGCACTTGCAACGCAATAAGGTCATAATGAGTCATATAAGTGCCGAAGATTAAAGGTGTTACAAGAGAGAAACAACACAAAAAAGAAGGAGGGGAGATAAAGACGATAAGACGTCTGATAGGAAAGAAGAAGCAAACCACACCAGAGCACCCGCCAACCACCCACATGAAAACGTCTCTATCTCCGGGAAGTAATAGAGGATACAGCACTGTCATAAGTTGTGTCATTTGTGAACTTTACGCAACAAAACGACTTACAAGGACAAGATCCATATTGCAGGAAAGAAATGTACCATTTTCATATTCTGGTCATCAAAAAAGCCATTAATGGTCTCGTTCATACCAGACAAAGCCTTGAGCCTAAAAGGTACATCAGAACAGGTGTACGTTATCATATAATCATAATAGAATTTTCGATTAAAGAAAATTTTTATTTTAAAAAACCCATCTTCTTAACCCTGTCCGTACGTCGTGTTTCACTATCGTATATCCATACGACATGGGGAACTCTGTGCCACCACTTTCCAAAGAGGAAATTTACTTGTTAATCCTATCCGTACGCTTTGCATAGCAGTCTGTCAAAATGATTTTTTGAGAAATACTGAAAGTTTCAAAGAGATCTTCGTACTAGAAGTATTCTAAAATGTGAAGAATACAACCCCGGGGGTACAAAATGACCCCAGGGCGTACGGATAAAGTTAATATAAGTAAAAAGCACCCTTCATGCACTATATTATTATAGCTACCCACATGTAGCCTCTGTAAGAGTGGAGGGCCCTGAGACAGGAAACGTGGCCAACCCCACTGACGCTACAAGAGAAGCTATACGGGCCGCCAGATGAACTGACTAGGACGGCCCAATTTATGACAGATACCGGACTTCAAGTGTGATGCGATCGAGAAGAAGAAGAAGAAGGTAGAGCAGTTCAAACAGAAAGATAGAGAGCGTTTAAGACAGGAAAGGCTTGACTGGACAGCACAGAAGAGAGGAGCAGTTAACAAAAAGGCTCTTGCGCGTTATTACGCCAAAAAAAACAACAGCAGTGCTAATAATGAGAATGAGACACGGAGAATCGTGGGGAAGGACGTAACGTTGAAGCTCGGAGGCAGGCCCTTAGTAGGGTGAAAAAGGCTCTTCCTCTTTCTCTAACGAAACGGTAGGAAACTGTGGGAGACCTATATCAGGAGACACCGCAGCGCTCCGCCGAGTATGTCAGCCTGACAGAAACAATTATGTCTAATGATGGGCTGAGTCAAAAGGCAAGAGCAGCATTCATCATTCTCAGGAATATATGGATATCTAAGGAACTGGGATTGAACTGAGGATCTTCAAAACAAACGTGAAGACTGTTCTACTGTATGGTTCAGAGACATGGAGGCTCACAGCATCAGCAGCAAGGAAACTGCAGAGCTTCGTAAATGGATGCCTACGAAGGATAGTGGGGATCAAGTGGTACGATCGAGTCACGAATGCTCAACTGTGGGAGAGAACAAGCCAAAGGCCAGTAATGGAAGATATTCAGGTGAAGAAATGGAAATGGATTGGACACACCCTGAGGAGACCCCCGACAAGTATCATCAGGCAGGCCTTAACATGGAACCCACAAGGAAAGCGTAAGAAGGGAAGACCTAAGATGACATGGAGGCGAGCGGTATCAGTGGAAATTGAAAAAGCGGGGACATCATGGAAACAGATAGAAAAGGATGCTCAGGACAGGCTTCGCTGGAGTAATGTTGTTCCTGTGCCTGTGCTCCACTGGGAGTTAAAAAGGGCAAGAGAGAAGAGAGAAGAGAGAGATGGGCTGAGTACTCAGGAGCAGCTGCAATTCAAGCGGCTGTTAGCGAAAAAACTGCAGCACAAGCCGAAATTGGCAAAGGTGCTTAATTTCCAAAACAGACCCAGCAGGCTCCGACACATGGCTTCAAAGACCATAAATCTCATGAGACGCAAACCGTTCGGTTCCGTGGCAAAGGCCAAAAAGGTTTGTACGTTTTTTTCTTGAACACTCGAGGCTACTTCCCTTCAAGCGAGGTGCGGCACGAGGTGCCAAGAGGATTCTCCTCAGATCGCTAATGGACCTCTATACCGAATATATTGCCAAACACGAAAAAGTGAGTTTCATGGGTTTTTTTGCAAAAATAGACCACAGTTTGTCAAGACACAGCAATTCATGAAATTCAACCTAGCTCTTTGCGAAATCTGCGAGAACATAGATTTAAAACTCAAAGTCATCGTTGAAGCAGGCATCACAACACTTGGAAAAGACCGAAACCATCTTCTCCACCTCATGCTGTGTCCTCGGGCCCCAGGAGCAAGATTCCATCATTTGTCTTGCATTAAGCTGGACTGAGCAATGTTTGTGGCCCCCAGAAGCTGTTGGAGAATGTCAGGGAGGGGGACAGAGACACTGTAGTTTCCTGTGGGAATGGGGGATGAAGGAGGTGAAGCGAGGAGAGAATGTCGTGAGGAGGAGGGCTCGTATTCTGAAAACTTCAGCTTTTTCTATTTTTGAACCTGCTTTAAGGGAGGAGCTGGGGAAATTTCCTCTTCATATCTTTCGAGCGCAATGGCAGTACAGCCAGTTCCTCAACAAAAAGACATCCATGCGAGAAGGAGAGCTTCTGGCTGTACTGGACTTCGCGGAAAACTACCGTTGCTCCAGCCAAGATGAGGCGCAGAGTGCACATTGGAATTACCTCCAGGTAACCATTCACCCCATTGTGTTTTATTATCAGTGTGCATCCTGTGCCTCCACAACAACAGAGTAACCTTGCTTACTACGATGGGTCTGTGTATTGATGACATCAAAAAGTGGATGGTTGATAATAAGCTCCAGCTTAATGAAAATAAAACTGAAATTCTGTTATGTAACCCAAAGAAAGGCCATATCCCCGTAGACATTGATCATATTTGTACTGAAAATGAAACACTGTATTTTACTAACAAAGCAAAAAATCTAGGAGTGTATTTTGATTCAAAATTGTCAATGGAACATCATATCAATTATTTATGTACCATTTTATTTTGTGAATTGCGTAGAATTGGTCATATGTCTATGTTTTTGAACGAACACTCGTTGAAAACGCTCGTGTCATCTTTCTTGTTTTCACGCATCGATTATTGCAATGCTTTACTAGCTAACTTACCAAATACCTCTCTTCACAAGTTACAACGTTTTCAAAATCATGCTGCTAGGCTTGTACTAAAGAAAAAGAAGAGGGACCACATTACTCCCATGTTAAGAACGTTGCATTGGCTTCCCGTGTCAGCTAGAATGTCATATAAAATTGCTATATTATGTCACAAATGTGTCAATAACAAAGCTCCCTCATATCTTAGGGATCTCACCCAGATTTATGTTCCATCTAGATCACTAAGATCAGGCGACCAGTATCTTTTACGAGTTCCTAGAAAAGGTGTTAAAAAATTAGCCGAAAGATCGTTCGCCCACCTTGCTCCGTCAGTTTGGAACTCTCTTCCCCAACCCTTGGGACATACAACATCTGAATCTGAGTCTAAATTTAAAAAATCTTTAAAGACACATTTAATGACATCCTTTTTAAGTCAGTAGATTCATGTTCAATACAATGTTATGTAAATGTCTATGTATCCATTTATGTATTTTGTGAATTGCAGTGTATATATATTATTTTATTCTCATTTCGTGACGATGTGTAATCGTGTGCGTGTGATAAGCAAGTAGATGTGTGTGTGTGTGTGTGTGTGTGTGTGTGTGTGTGTACGTGTGTGTGTGTGTGTGTGTGTGTGTGTGTGTGTGTGTGTGTGTGTGTGTGAGTGTGTGTTCGTGTGTGTTTGGCATACATGTGTGCGTGTTATGTATTCGTGAGTGTGTATGCGTGTGTTTGTGTGTGTGTATATGTATATGTGTGTGTGTTTGTGTGTATATGAGTGTGTGTGTGTGTGAGTGTGTGTGTGTGTCGCGTGCATGAATATTTTTCTTACATGCATTTATGTAAAGCGCCTAGAGCTGTGTTTACACGGGAGTGGGCGCTATAGAAATGATCTTCATTATTATCATTATAGTTATCATATCTAATGACCTGCAGTACGATGCCGCCGCTGTCCAGGTATATACAAAAGCGGCACTGGTGCACATGAAGTCCAGAGGGTCCTTCGACCGCTTCGTCCAATTTTTGGACGGATGTGCTGCTCAGTATAAAAGCAGGCAGCCTTTTTTTCATATTCAGCAGAGCCCGGAGCTTCTACTACTTCTAGGTCTGCCAATCGAGAGGCACTTCTTTGGAAGTCGACACGGAAAGAACCCGTCCGATGGTGAATCCGCTGTACTAAAATCGGCAGCAACTAGAGCTGTCAAATGTCGGCGGGTCTTGATACAGACACCAGAGAACATGTTTGCTTTTGCCCGTGACCGGCTCTCCTTGGGCGGTAGCTGTGTCCACTACAAGAGAACATTTCTGTATGTGGACACAGTAGCCGTTGAAGCAGAACGAAGACGGAAGCAAGACGTCATCAAGACCCTGCCCGGGACACGGGTTCTCCATGTTGTCAAGGCAGAGGGAGGCTCTTTTGTGCTCCGAAACTTGAGCTGCTTCTGCCAAGGGTGCGAGGCTCAAGAACCCAGCCAGTGCTCGAACAGTGACTATGTGGAGCCGTGGCACGAGCATAACATGGCTACCAGTGCTACCACCAAGAGAGGCAAGGTAAGCATTTAGAGCCAAGTCAACATTTCATACATTTCCTCTTTTTTTTTCTTCTATTTTTGTAAAGCTGTACTTTGTTTTAGTAAGATTTTACGGCGCTCACAACTGCACACAGTCATATGAGCGCCAAGTGGTGGATGTCAACAGAAAAGTCCAAACGGGGAATCAGGCTTACTCTGCTCACCGCTCTAGCCTCAACAGCACAAAGTCTTCTTCAACTATCAAGAAATCCCGGAAAAAGAGAGTGACAAATATACAAAAGACGTAGAGGAAATGACGATAGTAGAATGATGAAAGAAAAGTGAAAAGGCAACAGTTTCTTCCATAGCATTGTCAATGCACAGAAAATAGTTATTCATAAGCAGTACAAGATATTTTGTACCATTTACTTACCCTTGGTGAGCTTCATACTTTTTTCCCACATGAGTACATTGTACATTTAACTTTCATGGTTTTTAAAACAGCATGCTGGTGAATGAAGGAAATAAACTTTAATCTAAGAATTTTAAAAGATTTTGTTCCAACTTTATTTTGCCTGCCCTGCGCACAAATTCATTCTTTAATATTTTCAGAAACCGCGACGACCAGTTCGTGAAGATGCAGTGGTCAACACGACTAACAACACAGAAGTAGCCAATGGAGAGGATGCTGTAAGTACTGAATGCTTTTTTTTTCTTTTCATGTTTTTGCTTTTTTGTGTGTTTAAAAATGCTCGGCAAAATTCACCAACAGCTAACTTCAGGTCCCTATTACTATTACATTCTCTTACAAAACTATTTTTATGACCCACATCACTTTTTTACGAGTCATTTCTTTGCTTCCAAATATTATAGGTGCTAGTTTGCAAGAGAAAGTAAAGCTCTGTGTACAGTGAACTAGCTTCTGGTGTAATGGTTAAGCTCGACGCCTTTCATGCAGGGGACGGGAGTTCAAGGCCCCCCACACGCGGCAGTTTGTTGAATTGAATCTCTGTTTTTTGGGTTGGGATAGTGTCCTTCTCAGCCCAGATTGGCACACACAGACAGGGTCGAAGCAGCCCGTCCTGTATATGACCTTACAGAGGTGCAAGAGAAATTAAGTCTGAAACCAAACAATATGTATTGTGACTCTACAATAAAATGTATGTTTGTGCTCTCTACAGGACCTTGATGTACCTCAAGGAGAGATTGACAACAACGGATAAAAAGCCTTGGGAAGTGAACTCAATGAATCGTCTGTCTCGCTTTTGAATTATCTGAATGACTTCAATGTAAGTAAAATGTCTAGATCTTTAGTTTCACACACTCAATGTATGTTGTAATGTATTGTGTCTGAGTTCAAGTTTTATAGTAGGCCCTACTATTGTCATGCCTAGATCATTTCAGCTTCAGAAAGAAGAGTTTATGAGAGTCGGAAAGGAGTGGCAGCCTCACTATAACAATCTAAGGCCATTACCCCCCCTCCCCATCCCCACGAATTGCCATTCTAAACATTCTTTGTTTGCATTTTCTTCTTCTCCCAACTGTGAATAATCCTCTTATCCCCCTTCGTCTTTCTCTCAAGATTCCGTCTGATGCGGATGTGAGTCTAACCGAGAATGTGAAGCCATCGGAAAGTGTGTCTGACAGTGTTGGCAAAGACGATTCCACACAGGTAGGAAACTACTTTTTGCTGGTTCACAATCCATAAGTCTAGCTATATTAAATTTGATAACTCTCCACAAATTTTGAAAAGCAACACGATGCCTACAGATGTCTACAAGAGTGAAAAACTTTTAAGGCCTAGGACTACAAAGAATTAATCATAGTGGGTTGGTTTCTTTTTCTTTGTTGTATTGGTAGAATATAAACTATCATGCTTTTTAGTTGTGGACAAAATGTTGACTGTCTTGCTTTTCTTCCAGAAAACTATCCAGCCAGGAAGCTACTCGTACATTCTAGCAACATTTCCCAGAAAGACGGTGCGGAGATTTCTTCGTCTAGTGAGTGTATTATCAATGTTCCTGTATGACAAACATCATTTTGTACACCAAAAATATGAATGCATGAAGGAACAGCTTGTTTGTATATATATGGAATTTCCTCTAAACAGTCATGATCTTTCAAGTATCCACTCAGTGAGCCATTGGCTGAAGTAACTACACTATTAAAGCAAAAACTGAGATACCGGTAGGCCTACCATGACAGCAGCTGCATCAGTGACAAAGATAAAAGAGCAATTGACTTTGACACTGTACTGGTTTGGTTTGGTTTTTTGTTTTGTTTTACATCCCTCGCAATCGACCCTTCCTCTCCGGGTCAACCTGAGGTGAGAGGTATGAATCCCGACAGAAAGATAGATGCTTGTCCCCATGTTGGATCAAACTCAGTTGTTCTGCGTAAGAGGCAAAGAGACTAGCCATTGCACCACAGTCAACAGTCAGTACTGATCATAACCAAAATTTTATTGAATATCAAAGTGAAACTATGGGCCAACTTTAGTATACCCTTTTAGATTCATCATTACTTCATTGACTTTTGATTAATAATTTCCTCCATGATTCCCTCCACAGGTCTTTGCTGTAGATGAGAGAGAAGCCCAGATAAAATTCTGTAGGAAGAATGGGCAATACTTTTTCTGGCCAGCAGTGGATGACATAGGGTGGATGGCGCTTTACTCCCTATCAATAGTAGATGCCCCAACCCTAGATGCCCGGGAGAGAATGTTCCTTAAACCAGATGTTTTATCTTTATGTTAAATTTCGTTTTCTGTATCTTGTCAATTGTGTATTGCACGGCTCTTTCTGTCTATGCAGATGGTCTCAAGGTTGTCTTCCTGCAATTTGTATTGTTCATATGTTTGAAGTGAAGATTGTGCCGCAGTGCTTACATGTCAGTGAGGTGGATCGAAACTTTGCATTTCCATGTTGGCGCTTCTTAGCCTGGTTGTTTCTGAGCTGCTTCCTTGTCGAAAAATTTTCTTGCATTGAAGAGATCTTCCCATTACAATTTTCCCCTATGTTTTCCTGTCCTCAGCTTTTTGTTCCCAGATGTTGATATCTACTCCAAATTTAGATATAAGCTGTTTTGCAGGTGTCTTTGTACCTCAATTTTGGCTTTCCTCTTGGTCTCTTTCTCTGGGGCAAGTTCTCCATAGAATAATGTCTTTGGAAGGTTAAAAAAAATGGTGAAATGGTATGAGTTTAACGCCCCTATCAACACTATTTAAGAGGCGGGACCTCCTAGTTTAACGTCCATCTCCGATAGGACCGAGCCAAGTGGGAAGTTCGTGTAAAGTGTCTTTCCCTAAGACACAACTTCGGACCGAGCAGAGGCTCGAACCCCCGAACCCGCAATCTCACGATTACGAGTCCGGTAGCCTAACCACTAGGCTACTGGAAGGTTCAAGGTTTATTCTCATTTCAATCGGGTTATTATTGAGTGTTGGCTCCTGACAATGTAGTAGGGCCTACTGCACTGATAATTTAGGGTGTAAAAAAGCTGATCTTTGTTTCGGCTTTTTTTTTGTCCAGTCACATTTGAAATGAAAATATAAGTTTTTCGCCTCTCTTTGGCAATTTTATTTTTTAAGTTTTGTTTTTAAGTTTTCACTTTGTGTCAACCTGTGAACTAAGGAAGTCCACGGGATTTGAAAGATTTAGAGCATTAACTATTTATTTATATATACGAAAACCTTTGTTTTACTTTGTCCATGTCACAATTAGGACAAAAAACATTTTTCCCTTGTAAGACTGATTCATTCAGATTTTTCATGGGTTTTTCTTTGCAAGTCATTTTAATATTTTACTAATGGACCCTTTGAACAATTTTTCGGTCCGATTTGCTTGCAACTGTGTCATGTATGGAAACTTTTTGTAAACCTTTTTTTTACTAATTTTGTCCAGTCACATTTCTGACATTTTGTTTTTTAATGATACCATTTCTTATTATAATTCTTTTAAGTTTCTCATATTTTCCATTTGCTGATGGCGTAATAAAAGGACATTTGACATTTCCTGTTCAAAAATACCTTGCATTTGTTATTTATTGGCAATTTTGTTATGTCCACGTCACAATTCTAACAATGTGTGTTACATAACGAAAACATCTACATCTAAAACATGGTTCACCGTACAGGTCTGAGATTTTCTATGATGATCGTTACAATATTAAACGAAACAATCCTTAAATAGGAACGCAGCAAGTCGAGTTTAAATTTTGATGTGCTATGTCACGCTTTTGAACACAAAAGGGAGGAATGACCAATATCATGTGCATATGGCCACTTAAGTCACATACTTAACCCAATCCGTACGCCCTGGGGTCATTTTGTACCCCTGAGGTTATATTCTTCACAGTTTAGAATACTTATAGTATGAAGATCTCTTTGAAACTTTCAGTATTTCTCAAAAAATCATTTTGATAGATTGCTATGCAAAGCATACGGATTGGATTAACGAGTAAATTTCCTCTCTGGAAAGTGGTGGCACAGAGTTCCCCGCGTCGCCTGGATATGATTGTAAAACACGATGTACGGGTAGGGTTAAGGTCTACCCAAACATCCCCCCTCCCCTTTCCCCACCCCACCCATCTTCTCAGCTGCAGGCTGTGGAAGTGGAAGCTACCCCTTTAGACATGTGGTTGGATCCCTCAGAGGACACGAAATACTTGCTGATGTCATTCACAGATCCATTTTCTCCTATGTCATTGTTGACCAGCTGTGGACAAACAAAAATAACGTTAATGCTCTCACTTGGATTGGAGTGGCTCAGTTTGAATTTCAGTACTTCATAAGAAACAGACACAATACCCTCAAAAGTAGAACACTTGATTGGTAAAGTAACAGCAAATAGGTACAAAACAGTATTCATCAACTTTTTAAAAGTCAGTGTGCATTTTTGCCTTCTCTGAAATTTTCATACTACCCATCTACATGTATTTCTAAGCATGGAATTAAATAATACCTGTCACCACCTGACCCTATCGTCCACCAAAATTACCACATCATCCATGAGTGGACAACATAACCCAAGTTGGCAAGCAGTGGTATAGGAGAAATAAGAAAGGAAGAAAGACCTCAAAGGAAAAAGATTCCCATTTTCAATAAATGTTAGATTATGCTGGGAAAAAAAAAAAATCACAATATATCTTTATTCAAATGCAAATAGAAAGAAAAAAATCAGGAGATATGTTGCATCAGCAAAACAGAAAAGCAGAGTAAGTAAATTCACACAAGCATCTCTATTGGTTTAAGAAGCAAACGTCTCTGTGTTTTTGTTACCTCACTACAGAATGAGTCACATTTCGTTTGGATTTTTTTCTTAAATTTCTTTTGAATGAGTCGAACCCCCTACAAGACACAAACAGATTGTTGTGATTGAAGACGAAACTCCCGCCCCAATAATAAGGGCAAAATTGAACAAGAAAGGAGTGAAAGAAGGTAGAGATCATACCAACTGGAAATGTGTGTCTGAATAATCATAGTTTATGTAATACACTCCCCTATCAACACAATTTAAATGATTCAGGAGGCCAATTTGTTCAAAGCTGCCATTCAGGGAGAGTCAGAAAGACAGATATACTTCATAAAATTTCTGTTTCTATTTCAATTTTTTTATTTGGTTCATTTTTCAGAGACATAAAACTAACATCATAGCTTACGGACAAAAGAGAATTTAAAAAAATAGAATTCCCCCTTTAAAAAAAACATATTTTCAATAAGTTAGAGATTACGATAAAAAGTACTAATTTAGGAGACATGTACAAACAACATAGAAGTTTAGGAATCTTGGGCTTACAAAATATAACATTCCAACTGACTGGCATACCTGACTTAGATGTAGAACGGATGAGCTTGCTCGAGGACACACATAAACGAGTAATTTTTCTTTGTGCAGTGATAGTTCCTGATATTTCCTCTTCTTTCTCGTGTCTGAAACAAGAACAATTGTATCACTCGTTGCAAAAAAAAACCCACTAAAAAAAACAGTGCTATTGTAGGAAAACCCATTGTGTCAACAAATTAAAGAGACTACGTTACTCACTAGGACATGAAAATGAACGACAGCTGATCTTATAAGAACATACTGCAACGGTCAAGTCATGTTGTACTATGTATCTTAACTACTAAAAGAGCACGCATTTATAATAAACTTGGTGAATACAGTAGTCTCTGGCTACTATGGTGTAAAGAAAACCATGCTCTTATGCAAACTTGCTTCTAAAAGAATTCAGAATGGAAACCGCCTAGCATCTGATCTCCTGCAGTGGCTTGAATCAACGAGCTGAGCTCACCCCGAGGTGTGAAGTTTTCTTAGGCCGGTCCCCGAGTGGCTCTGTAGGTCTGACCTGTAGCTCACCTAGCTCGCACCGTGCAAATGAACGTATACATTATCGTGTGCTTGAGCAGCGTCACTGTGTGGTCTGTCTGTTGTCAGCTGAGCTGCCCGAAGCGTCAGACGAGCTATTCAACAGTGTTGTAAAACACGCCTGACATGTCTAGCACGCAGCCTCGCTTGGTGTGTATTTTCGACTGAAATTCTTCACAGATCATCAAAATCAGCAAGAAGTAAGTATTATTAGGTGCTTTACTATTAGATATTGATGCTAGCATCAACACTTGACCACAAAATCCCAAGAAATGCACTTTATCCTACCTTAAAATTTTGAATCGAGAGGTTGACCTAGTTTCGACTGTTCATTTACATTCGTAGGCTTGTGTGCTTCTAGCCTTGTGCGGCTGTGCTGACACACAGAGGGTGCTCACTCAGACACAGAAGCCAAAGCACAGTGTGGCTGTGCTGACACGCAGACGACGCGCGCTTGGCAAGCTACAGGTCAGCACTGTCTGCCTGCCACACATGGCCGGGCACTGTTTTCCTTATTGCTCAGTTCTGTTTCACAGCATTTCCTTATATCTCTTTCTTCCTAGCAAAACTGCAATTTCCATGAATAAAGGATGAGCATACAGAGTTTGCTTCGCTTCCATCAGTTCCAAGTGAAATGAGGCATTTTTATGGTCGATCCGTTTCTGATACTAGCACAGAATAGATCATGCTATCAATTTAAAACGAGTTGTCAGTCTAGGACTTGCTCTTATAAGTGGTGATAACTTGCATAGAAAAAATTCGGATCAATGTAGCCGGCATGCTTTCAGGTGGATCATGTTGTTACCCTCCAAGCTCTTAGCTGCAGACCATTGTACTAGGAAAGTGCAGAGCAAATGGGCCTGGTATGCGAACTTGGGAACAGCTGTTGGTCTGTGTAAAATAAAACTTTGATATTGCGATGGAATACTTTCAAATAAAATTGATTGTTCAAACAGTGGCATTACATATGTGCACAATCATCACATGGGTTGATTTAAAACACAGGAGGCTATTTTAACAAATTTTCTCCCCCCCCCCCCTCCCCCTTCCCCCCCCACCCAGCCTCAATTAAGACAAGGGAGTTGCTCTTACCTTCTTTCCTACTGCGTCCTCTGGGAAGATGAATTAGGAATGTATTGTTCATGACGGACTGCTTAAAACTGCAAGCAATGCGCACTGTGCTACCTGCAGAAAGAAAATGTACAGATATACCGTAACTGTGTGAAAAAAGAAAAAAGAAAAACCACTACCAGCAGGTAATTACTAGAACTGAGAGCTAAAAGAAAAGGCCGCACTACAACACAATGTTACTAAACATAGTAAAACGATATCATTCTGTATAAAAACTATGTATTAAAAACACTTTCCAAACGGCACTAGGAGGAAGAGAAAGCAAAATCCCCTAAATGTTAAATTATTAACAGTGTTAGTGAAACAATTAACTTAATAATTCAGATTCTTGTTTTCCTCCTCCTTCTACTTCTACCCAAGACGGACTAAGACAAGACGAGACAACTCTTCTTTACGTCATGTGACAAGCGCAGGCCCCTCCCACTTTGCCAGATGCGCGTATAACTCGCTGGGGTGGCGATAGTTTACATTGGTTACAATGCTGAATGCAAGGCTACTGATCATCTCGGGCGGTATGTCTAGCCTAGGCCTACTAAAATTACTATATTTTAGCCCAGAGAGAGTATTTAATTAATAAACGTAGCCTATCTAGATCTAGATCTAGATTCTAGATCTAGATATCTAGATTCTATAGATAGCCAATATAATCTATTTCTAGATCTAGATAGCTAGATCTAGATATCTAGAATCTAGATTAGATCTAGAATATAGATCTATAATTTCAATTCAGTTTAGATATATCTAGATATAGATCTAGATCTAGATTCTAAATCTAGAATCTTGATACATGTATCTATATACATGTATCTATAATCTAGGCCTAGATCTAGATCTAAATAAGAAACACCGGGCACTTAGGCCTTGCGTGATTTAGTGCAAACGGGACCCCTATTGTACAGAAGTGCTATTGTTTCTTAACTCCAGTTCATGATCATTGATTCTGACATTGGGGAACAGCTCGCTGTGTAGGCCTAGTTAATCTAGATCTAGATCTAGACTCTAGATCCTGCTTGAATAGCTTCAAACAGTCCCACAGCTTCTGACCGGGCGTACAAGCAGAAGGAAATATATGGCTTTAGAAAGCCTTCACTTTTGTGGGGCAATTAGATTCTAGATTCTCCTTTTTCTCAAAGTCTTAGAATAGCCCCATATGACTGGAGACACTTTCCCAAGAAAGTACCCACTGCTGTATGTGACAACATTTTCAAACTGCACCAGGTACTCTACTTTCAGTGACTTGATGAGGTTAGTCATTGGTGGCTGCTCCTCTTTTTGGACTTTATATTATAAACACACATAGGTGGTGCAATGTTTGAGTTATATAGGCCTAACTACCTGGAAGCAAAACTGAAAGGAAGTGGTCAATGTCATCTTTACAGTTCATACCAGGACTGGTCAGAGGACTTTATTTACCATTATTAGGCAAAAAGTATGTGCAAAAATCTTGGGGGTAGGGGCAGGATTGTCTCTAGTGATTGCTTTTTTCCTTTGATAGCTGCAAAAAGGTTTACAGATTTAGCATGTTGCTGAATAAATACTTACCACCACCCTTTCAGTTTCCTTGACCAGAATCAAACAAAAGGGCTTGAATTATTTGTATCCAGTCTTTATTAATGCTAGGTAGGGTTTTTGATGTGTTTTTTTTCTGTTTGTTTGTTTGTTTGATTTTTATTTTTATTTTGGGGGGTTTCATTGCCATATTTCAAATTGTTTCAACCAACCAATGTTATATTTCAAGAGGGGAATGTGGGGTGAAGTTGGTTTGATACAATGCTTGTAAATTGCAGATGACTTGTTTGTATTTGTAGTGAAGCATTGAAGAAACTGTCAAACCTGCTATGAAAAGGGATGTGGCAGAAACAGATTTACTTGGCAGAGGAATGCCATCCTAGCAGCAACTTAATTGTGGACCAGAACATGAGCTACAACAGCTGCAAAAACAGAATCTTTCAAGTCATAGAATTATACTATTTGTGAAGAATGGTGTGATGATTTAATCAACACATTATTATGAGTGGCATTTATGTAACTATAACATGAACAACAGACATACATGCATCACATTCACTGGCACAGTATAGACAACAAAGTTATAGATTATAGTGACCACTAAGAAAAGAATTTGTTGAGTTTTTCTTCCTCTCAATTTTATGCTTTTCTCTAATTAATAGTAGAAATCTAGGCCTACTTTATTGAAGGGTTCTCATACTCAGAGTCATGGAGTCTAGTATTGTTGTTCTTTTTATTGTTGTTCATTCTTTGATGTGATACAACTAATAATTATAACCTAAGCATTCCAGAACCATGGATTTGACAGCTTACCCCAGTTAGCCTTTCCAGTGACATAGAGTCTCCATTCTTCTACATGATGTGTATCACTTTGTTTTATTTTGATTTCCAAATGAAATTCAATTTTGTTTTAAAACGTAGGCTGTAGTATAAGTATAGGCGCCTATATATTACTTAGGGCATACCTTGTTAACAAAAAATGTGATGAGGTTTCGCTTCTATTATCCAGTATATATATATATATATACACATACTTTTAACAAATTTTATAGCTTATTCTTGGCTGATAAATGAACAAGATTTTTAAAAAAGAAAAATTTACTTGAGAAAATGATGTTTGAGATTGAGGAATTTCCATGTTGTAAAAGAGCATGAGTCTTTTTAAGTCCTTTTGTGGTGGTTTGTTTCTTTCTAGAGTACGGGGATTGTGAACTTTGAATAACACAGGTATGGCTGTATTGCACCTTCAGTTGGCTTGCCTCAGCACCAAGAAACTGAGAGTCCGCAAAGTACCCAAGACTCAGAGCAGAGAACTGTCTCAGAAAAGAGACATTCTGGTGACTTGCTCAGCAGATCTTGTCTTCACCCTCGTCTGGCACCACGGACCGTATCTTTAGTTTTTAAAATATCCAATCTATTGTATATTCTGTTAGAGAACAGTTCATTGCAGAGCACCACTGGCTATTCTGTCGTTTTTAAACTGTAATATCTAATGTACTTCTAGCGTTTCGTAAACTCCTAGATCTAGATCTAAATCTAAATCTACATCATCTTGTCACTGAACATGTTCAACTCACTACCGCTTTCCGTTCATTAAAATCTTTTTTCCCAACTCACTAGATCTAGATCTATATTCAAAATGTGAACAAAAACCAGTCAAAATAAATACCAAACAGTTTATATGATTTTAAAAAAAACCCAAAGGCAAAACTGCCATTATGAAATTCAAAGTAGATTTAGGCATCTATCTCAGCGAGTTGAACAGTGCGCTCTTTCTTCCTGTTGTTTGTTTACGCTATTAAACGCGCATCTAGCTGGTTACCAAGGGGAGCCAGTTGGAACGAAAATGAGGCCGTTGTCTCGTCTTGTCTTAGTCCGTCTTGGCTTCTACTGTGTTGCCCACAATCTTCGCTTGAGCAAAAGTGGAAGACATTAGGCTGTTTAATCTGCAGTCAGATGGAGTAAAGTAAATGGCATTTTATTCTGTTTCTGTTTAGGATTCCTTGCTATTTTAACAGAGTTTTTTTTCATTGTTTATATTAATCCGATTTCCATTTTGAAGTAAGAATTACAACTTCAAATTTGCCACGTCAGAACATACCTGTTATTTTTTTTTAACTATCAATTAATATAACAACTTCATCAAAATAAATGTGCACACTGGACTTGAGGGCTTTAAGTCCATATCTACAATGGTTCATGCTTGGTGCTACCTACAAATGAATTGGGGGAGTACAGTGGAAATCGGATTTAACGAGCTCGGATTCAACGAGATGAGACAGATTCCCCGTTTTTTTTCTTCTTTAAAATCAATAAAAATAACCCGGATTCAACGAGCACTTAAATCAGCGAGCTCGATTCAACGAGGTCGCTTCCAGGGTGCACAGCCCACGCAGACGTGGCTTCGCTCATTTTTCTCTCTGAACGAACTTTATCTATTCCCGGAAACCATCCATTGCACCTGCACGTGAACCATTGTTCACTTAGCCGATTGCATACGACCAATCAGCCGCTTATTTTCATACCAACACATGCGTTGTTGGCTCGCCCACGAGTCTACTCTGGCATGTGTCGGGGTCGGATGGGCGGCCTGCACACGTGTGACTGTGTGTGTGTGTCGGGGAGGGGGGCGCACTAGCGGTCCGGGCGTTGAACGTCACAGTCACAGATACAAACGCGTCACAGTCTTTTTCCCCCTCGGCAACTGATCATTATTACAATGATAAGCTAGATCTAGTCCTGACGTAGATCTACGTAATGAATTGTGCGCTGGTCTATGAAATCAATAGTTGCCGTTATGCTAGGCTCTACACAGCAACACAACTTTTTGGTAAACAATCGAGATGACAAAGGCGTGTGCATTTGAACGAATCAGGTGGGGTTTTTTTACACTTCTCATAATATGCAGGCCTTTCAGGCACTACTTGTGACTTCTCTTTATAAATTACTTGCTCAGTGCCTGTAATTATCTACACAAAACCTCGTGTTTGCTATAACGAACACTCGGATTCAACAAGATTTTTGGTCAGGCCCGGCGACCTCGTTGAATCCGAGTTCCACTGTATAAAAATGTCAACATCCATATCAGCATTTTTGACCATCGGAGGAGGGAGAACCTTTCAACGTTACAAATCACTGGCTCACACCCAAGTATTTTTCAGGGAATCCAAACAATCTATGCAATTATTAAAATAATCACCTGTGAGAACACAATCTTTTGACTTGCTGTACTTTTTGTCTTCTGGCACTGACACTTCCCCTGCATCAACAGACTTCTGCATAACAGGCTGTAACAACTCCAGCATTTCCTGTATAATAATAATAATAATAAAGCTAATAATAACAAAGAGCATTTTCATATCGCCTATCCCCAAGTACACACAGCTCTAGGTGTTTTACAAAAATCCACCTACAAAGAGTAACAATTGTGAAAAAAATTAACATTTGCTCATATGAATGAAGAAATCAGACAACACACAACAAACACTTACACACACAACTTTTCTCTCATCACACTCATGCATATAATATCATAGACAAGAGAGCCATACAAATATATAGTATAATATACACAATGCAATCTGCACAGGTTAACAAAAATATGTTAAACAGATACTGTCTATCGCACAGTATTATAACTGAGTTATAAATGTTTTCATTAAACATCATTAGGTGTCTTGAGCTAAGACTCAGATATTGTGTTTCGAAGAAGTAGTACAGAGTTCCAAACTGAAGGCGCAAGATGGGCGAAGGATATTTCAGCTTATTTTTTACCTTCTCTCCTGGGAACACTTAAAAAACACCGACTGCCTGATCTCACTGATCTATAAACAAGATAAATCATAACAATACTATACTTTTTCCCCAAACAAAGTGAAACAAACAGGCCTATTATCATCGGCTTGAATTCTTTTTTGCTCTTTGTGAAGTTCAACAGATTTTGTGAAAATGAGCCAGTAGCCATGTAAACTATGAATTACCACAAATTTAAAGTCAGCATTGTCAGGTGAGATGTTTTCTTTCACCATCTTGGGGGAAAAAAACATCAAAGAACCATTTTAAAAATGAAAAACCTACTACACGACACAGCCAAAAAGCACTGATCACACCAGACTACTTAACCATGTTGATTATTGTCGACAAAAATATCAAAATGTTATTATTATTGTCAAAACAATCAGAAGCCAAAATAAAGACAAAAAATTATTTTATTATCTCAGGTACAGTTTCTTTTCAAACAACTTACCAAAACAAACAAAGACCAGCACTGAATAAAAGATCTTTCTTTATCTGTGGTGAATAAAAACTCAGTTTTCTCTGAGTAATAATTTACACTTTCTTACCTGGAAATGTTGAGCTTTAAACCAGTCGTGTACTGTACCATTTGCAAGTTGTGACTCTGTCAGGAAGGGAAGGACCTCAACTTGGAAAAGCCATGGGGTCATCTAGGAAAATAAAATCAGTCAAAGTGAAAATATTTTGTAACATTACTATCAATACATGAGGAAAATCCAGTTCAAATCTGGATTTATACCAGCTTATAAGATTGTTCCCTCCAGATCCCGGGGAATGAAGTAAAAAGAAGAAAGAGTTGTAGCAATCTCTCCTGTAAGAACATGTTGCTCAAAACTAAAGTAGCCTGTAGCATTCCAATGTGGGACTTAATTTCAGCTCCTGTTCCTCTCTGTCTGTCGAATATATTCCAAAGATAGCAGAAGGATTCAACATTTTCTAGTACATTTCCGTCTTTAGTGATTTGCTCTTTTTGAAGGGCATATATCTTTCTTTTGGACCTTAGACTTTTCATGGTGGGTCCTCAATCCATCAGACTCTGGTAGACAGTTTAAAACTGAAGTCTCTGCTTGGACATGATCCTGGATGTACAACAGAAGTGCCAAGTCATCCACAAAGTCCAGATTGTCTGTGTTAATAAGATCCACTGTAGCCATTTCTGTGCCCTCTAGTGATAAGGGCGTATGTAGGCGAAGCTTAACACAATGAATACAAAATATGCCAGAGAAGAGAGGAAAATACACTAGTAAAGTTCTACTATGTTCAAAGATAGTGAAACATCTAAAAGTAGAAAACAGTCATGCTGCTATAACGACCTCCTGTCCAAGACAATCAACTGTAAAAAGTACCACTTCTCTTGTGGGGTTTTTTCAATACTATACCACAGGGGCACAGTATGATGACATTCTCCCCCCCCCCCCCCCCCCATAATGATGTGCTGTAACATCTAAACTAACCATTTGCGACGTTTTAAAAAGCCAAAATTGTGTTCATGGCCCTAAAAAAAAAATATACACAGCTACAAAATATATCCTTCAAGAGACAGGAGTGTTTCTATAAATTTACACAATAGAGACCTGACCCTAGCCCAAACCCATACCCTAGTCTCAACTCTAACAGTTAGAATTGAGACTAGGGTATGGGTAGGCTAAGCACAGTCAAACCTGTGTAAAATGGCCACCCATTGTCAATGAGAAAAGTGGCCGTATAACACAGGTGGTTGTCTAAGGCAGGACTAATCGAAATGAGGAAATTTGATCACATTCTCTTCCGAGGTCTAAACCGGGGACGATATCAGGCTTTAGACTGCCATAAGGCTGATTCAAAAGGGATTTTGTTTTCTTTTTTAAAAAAAGGGGAGGGTAGTATAAGAACTTTTTTTGTGTGTTGTTGTTTTGCCTTTTGGTCAGCTTTCTTTACCTTTATCATACTAGATACTTTTTGTTGCTGATTATGGGAAAGGGTAAAATAAACAAATGTAAGTGAGACGATGTAGACTGATTGCCATGTTAAAACAAACACACGATTCGCCACCACTCGGAGAGCAAGCCATGCTTCTGTCGCAAGTTCACGCCAACGTCCACTGTTACTTTGTTACGGCACGGATTAGCAGGTAAACAAAACAGTGACCAGCCACCTCACATACGATTTGTGCATGAGTTGTGGGCGGGACTTATAGGTAATGATGGATCACACTTCCCTCACCAGCAGTTGAAAATGTATTGTTAGGCCTACCCATTGGTCAACTTGGGAAAACATTCATTGGAGGGATTAAAATGAGGATCCACAGCTTGAGGGGACGATTAAAAATTTAAGACAAAGCGTCGGGCAGTGAGTGACCACGCCTGGCCGCCTGAGACAGGTCAATTTGAACGTGGGTTGATAAAATAAGGTGACCGCAGCTGCGTTGGACAAGTGACCGCTTTACACTTACTTAGATAAATAGGTAAATTTTTACTTTAACTCCCGGACACAGATGCACTGCTTCAGGGGTCAAGCTGCTGTACTGTTTGCTGCAGATCACACATAATGCCACTAAAACTGTCGCAAATCAATTATGGAAGAGGCTAGCCGTACTTAATGACAGCTAGACTGGCAGTCTAGCTGTACTTAAGTACGGCTAGACTCACAGTCTAGCCGTACTTAAGTACGGCTAGACTTACAGTCTAGCCGTACTTATTCTTAATATGATGGCTAGACTGACCATTTACAAAAAATAGGCCTACTGAATTGTAAATATACATTTTTAGTGTGCAGTACCTAAAGTATTTGTATTTGAGACAAAACCAGGTTCCTTAATGACAGTGCATGTATTTTAAACCTTCTGTTTTCTAATGTAAATAGGGCCTAAGATAAGTACGGCTAGCCTGGCAGTCTAGCCGTACTTAATATTGATGGCTGAATTGTAAATGAAAATTTTAGTTTGCAATGCCTAAAGTATTTGTATTTCAGACAAAACCAAAAGGTGCCTTACTGACTTGCATGTATTTGAACCTGAATAATTACTAGATCTAGATCTAATGAGACCTGTGTACTTAACAGGATTGAGTCGATTGGGCCAAACCTAGATCTAAATACGGCTAGACTCTCAGTCTAGCCGTACTTAAGTACGGCTAGCCACTTCGATCAATTATTTTCAGGAAAATTTCAAATGTAACTCAAGTAACTGTTCTGTAAAATATCAAATTAAAACAGGGCCCCCCTGTAACCCCCCAGATTTTCTTTTACCCCAGGTGGGCAGGCCCCCCTGGAACCCCCCGATTGGTCCAAAGCACGTCTATCTCAATTAATAACAATCAGATATTTTAAAAAACTATTAATTTGCAACTGAAAAGAAGTTGATATTCGTGTTCAGCGCATCAATATATTTAGAATCTAGTAGAAAATGGACAACTGGTAGCTGAGTGTGAGACGGCATGGAAAGTTTTAAAATGCCGATAGATAAATATAGAAAAAAAACCCAAGGGGCAGGGGGGGGGGAATGGAAAGTGGCCATTTGTACAGAGTACAGGTGGCCGTCATGGCAGGTTCGACTGTACAAAATCTATTCCATTCATACCCATTGCTCGTTAGAGAACTCCTGCTTTACAACTTACTTTTTAAACTCACCTGAAAGAAGTGTGTTTTGAAGAATCCAGTACACATGAACAAATCTCCTGTCCCGTTCATTGTCTACTGATCCACAACGTGCTCAGTCTCCACCAGACAGTCTGACAGGCCACGTCTCAATCAATTAATCAGTAGTATAGGGCCTAGACTAGTCACAGTAAAATAATAAGACTAGATATCTAGATCTAGACCTAATCTAAATATCTAGATCTAGATCTAGATTAGATCTAGATCTAGATTCTAGTCTAACTGAGTCTTGTTTTTAAAAAAAGGAGGAAGAGGCCTCGTCCTTATGAATTCCAACGCCAAACTCAAACTAAAAATTTAATAACGTAATAAAGTATAAAGACTTAATTAATAAAGACTGATGGTTGGAAGAAAATGCTGAGTTAGAAGTTGCCGCTGTCGTGGATCTGACTTTCCTGTAACTCAGACATGATATAATGAGCTCAAAAATCCTGAAACAACAACTTCTGGAGCAACTGGAGTCAAGAATTGTTGGAAAACAAATAAAACGAAAGTAAGAACACGGCAATAATAACATTGTTTGTATTTACCATACCGGATACCGGAAGTAGAACTTCATTAGAACTCTGGTTTGAGTTTGACAGTTTTATCAGAATAAAGAATTACTTTTATCAATCAAAAAAGGCAGTTAAAATCTAAATGTCAGGATGTACTATCTTCATTTTGGAAAAACGTACTTTATACAATAGCAAAAGCACTATTCTAATATAGGAATAGTAAAACTTTACTCCAAATCTATTTTTGCAATTATCTATTTTCGCTGACCCCTCTCCGATGTGTCCTCGGTAGTATAGTGGTAAGTATCCCCGCCTGTCACGCGGGAGACCGGGGTTCGATTCCCCGCCGGGGAGGATATTTTTTAAATTTTTTTTCGTTTTTACCATTTTTTTTTTCTCGTTTTACTACTGCTGTGACGTGCGTACTTCACTGTAGGTGAGTCGTCTTGAAGAGGAAGCTAAAGAAAGCTTTCAGAAACATGCGTAAGAACAAATTGAAGGCTTGTGTACCTTAAAAGTGTGTGTGTGTATATGTGTGTGTGTGTGCATTAATGTATATTGCTTGAGAAGAAAGGAAGTAGTAAGAAAGGTTTTTGAAAAATGGGTATTCCAATGTAAAGCGCATTGAGCTACTTTTTTTGGAAATGCGCTAGGCCCTATATAAATGTTATATATTATTATTATTATTTATTATTTAAAAGTTATTCAGCAGTTGTTTCATTTTCATTGATTTGCCAAGTCCTTCACATTTTCGAACTCGATCATTTCTTTACTCTTCATGATATCATTATGTCGTGTAATGTAATAGTGGATTGATTATGCTACTCTAAGGTATCGAATTAAAAAAAGGGGGGGGGGGGTAGGAATAAAAGGGAGAGGTGTGGACAAGTGGTCCAAAATATTAATAATAAACGGGGGGGGGGGGGGGCGAAATTTTCACACCAAAAAAAGGGGGGGGGGCACATTCAACCCCATTAATTTTTTTTTTGGTGGCTGTTTTTGTTTGTTTTGTGGGGGGGGGGGTTGTTGTTGTTGTTGTTTGTTTGTTTGTTGTTGTGGGTTTTTTTGTGTTTGTTTGTGTGTTTTTTTTGGGGGGGGGGGTTGCTGCTTTTGAGCTTGGTTTTTAGTGCCAACTTTCAGGCCTATTATAATATAAGCCTAAATACATGTACTTCAAGCAGTTGATAGATCTATATTTATAGGCCCTATATTATCGATCCCATTGAACTTATTGAAAGGTCCGGTCAGGGAAAATACCTGCTACTGGTTAACTTGTAATCCAGTATACAGTACAATCTACTGCATGAATAGTAGGTTCGAATCCCGTCAGGGGCCCGACGTTGGATCCTTTGAAAAGGCACTTTACAACACGAATTTTCCTCACTTCACTGAGGTGGGAATGGGTACCCATAGACAGAGAAAGATCTTGTCAGTTTGTTAGTGTTTATTATAATTATTATGAACTGGTGTCCTAGCATGACATCAGAGGATGCATATATGTAATTATTCTGGTTGGTATTAACGGCCAGGGGCCAGGGCGGATGAGGCTCACTGAGCCTTAACAAGTGAACAGATGGCCCCATGCTAGATTTCAAACTTTCAGAGAACCACTTCAGTGGCTCTCGCTGCTCTCTACGGTTGAGGTGTGCCATGATGTAGCCTACACGCGCGTCATAATCATATGTAACATCAACATTTATATATATAAAATCTACGCATTCTTCTAAATTGGTGACAGCAACCTGCTGTGACTCATCTGACGGTTACTGGTCCAAACGACCCCCCCCCCCCCCCCCTTGAGTTTTTGTTTCATTGCATGCGGGCTATAACGGCACTGCCCAAGAGGACAACCTGTCTAAGATAACCACTTCTCTTCCTTGACAATTGGCTGTCGACTTGGACAGGTGTGGCTACATTTGATAGTGCAACGGTTAGAAGCAACTGCTGCACAGCACAATATATCGTATTTCAAAGAATATAATATACAAACTGTATTATATACTAGGCCCGCGTCTGTGGTGTAGCTGTTGGGCGCTTCGTTGTCGCACACAAAAGACAAAAAGACCCGAGTTCGATTCCCGTCAGGGAATTTGTAGTCTACATGATGCATAGAGTATTTTTCGCTATTTCTGTTGGGACGTTGTATCCAGTACCCATATTCTGGAAAGAAGCATTGGAGAATATTGTAACAACAGGCAAGTTTGATGGAAAGAGGCAGAGGCAGACAGAGGGAAAAGATACTGGACAAGCTGACAACATGGCTAGGAGCAGCAAGAACAACAGACACCTTTGCTGCAACGCAAGACAGAGTGAAGTGGAGGTCCATGATCGCCCACGCAAGTCGGCAAGGTACCGGATGATGACGAATATCAGCTCTGATTGGCACTGACAGGCAGAGTCGAAGTCTTGTCTCCTCCCAGATCAGAGTTTACTACAGTTGGATTTTTGTTTTTGGAATTGGTGCAGTTTACAACAAAACACCATTGACACTTCCGAGCTAACTGGAGCCATGCTGGTCAGTGATCAACGGAAATGCCTTGAAAATAAATGCAGTGGTAATGCTGTAAAACTCTCTGCCTGGATGATCATGTAAACTGCGTCGAAGGGGGCGTAAAATATCTACAATTAAACTTTTTTTTAAATGATTACTGAGCAGATTTTCAGAGGCTCAAGCCAAGTCTTCACCGTCTGACTGCGAGTGCGAGGTATACAGACTCAAAGAAAATAATAAATTTAAAAATTAAGCTATAGTTTAAGGACTCATTAGACTAGGTTTATACACGTTTTGGTACTTTATTTAATCATCAATAAGTATATTTTTGCTACCATATAATGGATACCGCATTTGTCACAAAACCATCATTGATGCGAAATATGAGCTACCTGAAATTCATACAGTATGATACTGTGAAACGGTATTGAGATATTAGAAATTTTTATAGAAACACGTGACTTGTTATCAATACTATTGCCAACAGTTTTAGTTTCAGTTTGTTCAGACACCTTTGAATTTGTGGGCCAGCTGTGTTACCTTTTGGATGTTATTTCTAAAGGAGGGTCTCTAAGACTAAGACTCCGTCGTTCCATTTTTAAATGTACTTTTTAAAAATGTATTTTATTTTCGTTTATATAGTTACTGTACATGTAGTTAGTTGTCTTTTTTGTTTCTTGGAAACTGTTCGGTCTTGAATCCAATGCTTGATTCGATGCCCACTTGTCTGAGGTCTTTATAATTCTTTTTCTCTTCTAGTGCTTTAGCGATTTTCTGAGTATTCAGAGCTAGCTTTCAATGTATCGCGTCTTATTTTCATTGAAGGTCGAGGGTTGTCACTGGTAGCAGAGATGGCATAACGCTGACCTGGTGGGTTGGTTCTTTGTGACACCTGTCTCCAGTAGGATTTTTTGACAGGAGAGGAGGGATGCCAGTTGCTAGGTGGTGACAGCATTTGATGTTCTAATTCCAGTTTCACGGTCAATTTTTCCATCGGCTGATGTGGATACACTTGTACTTCCAAGGATACAGTCTTAATAGTCTAGCACGCACACATAGAAAACACAAACTACAACAAACAGATTCTTAGGTTCCAGATTCTTTCTTTTACACACGTGCAATGTAATTTCTTTGTACCGGGATTTAAACGTACATATATAGTTTCACAAACAAAATTCATGCTCATGAAGTGAATATTTCCACGCCCAGTCGATTTCGACACTTATTTATTATTTATATGTGCAGTAAGCACATGTTAAGAGTTGTCAATATTTGCCACCAAGTCTTAAACTTGCTTCAATTGTGTGTTGTTGATTTTGAATATTTGATGGGTCTGGTTTTTAGAGAGATTCATTACTTGTCTTTTATGTTAATTTTCATTCCAAATTTCTCACCTGCTTGAGCTTTTAAAAAATGTTAAGGGTGCGGATTAGATTTAGCAGACTCGATAAATAACTTTGGAAGCAAAAACAGTTGTGGCTACAGATCACAAACAAACTTTATTACAATTACAATAACAGGAAGTTCGCATTTCAAGTACACACACAAAAAAAATTCCACAAATGGCCGTAATAAAACTTTAAAAAGAGATTCTATGAGTCATTACATTTCATTATTATACGTCATGGCCCTTCTGCATACAAGAGACAAAAATCATCTACCAATTCACTCTCTGTGCCGTGAACAAAAATATTGTGAAAATGACAATTTCAAAAGACATATATTTCAACTTAATCCAAATCTGTTAACACTCTTCTACTAAATACTACAAATAAAACCAAAAGAACAAAACATACATCTCTGCTTATATATATCGTAAACCATCCCAATCCAAAATGAGGCACTCCTGCATTTCATTGAAGTTTGAAGGGAACAATACCTGTGACAGTGTGATCTTCAAAACACACAAACATGACCATCATAATACTTCTTGTGAACTTTTGTGTGAACCACTGAGCTTGTAACAGACCACGACATGGAAAGAAAGAGAACACATAACAATCAAAATAACACCCTTAACTATGGCATTTTTTCAGGCAGTGCGTAGAGTACTTTAAAAATCTAAACATACAAAGGACATTCAGTCACACTAGTAAACACACAGAGTGCTTCATTCATCCTCAGTGGTACACACTGTTAAATACACATATATTAAATTTCATGTACAAAATACACTGGTATGGAGGAGATATTTGGAGAGTATGTTTTAATATGAGACCTATATAATCATAGTTAGTAAAATATGCACGGCATTCCTCTTATATTTCACTCTCTGTTAATGCAACGCTTCCATTCTCCTATACTTGGCACTGTGCCCCGATAGTAATACGGCGGATGCATTACACGTACGAGTAATTTGATTATTAACTTATGATTGGCATATTTCATAAGTATCAAGTATCTCATATTATGTGTATACTGAAACCAAATATTAATATATATACGTGACAGTCTCTTGTCTTTTATAATATTAATATCAAGTTCAGACCTGGTCTTCTATGGCCACACCACAGTAACATGTTATGTAGCCTTTCACAATAGAACATCCAGACCAAACAAAAACCAGCCAAACAGAGTCAAAAGAAATAGAAAACTTAGCATAAAGACACATATTTTTTTAAAAACCCAAAAAACCTCTGTGAATCCTATCCTCATTCCCTAGACCTAAACTTTAAAAAACCATCACTATAGTTTCAAGAGAAAATACATTTCCCCACCGACTGGATCAAAGTAGTTTCAGGATCAAAGCTGCCATGTTCTTACTAAAAGATTAGATTGAACCTTTGTACAATTGGCTCAGAATAAAACTGCTGCTTTTATGAAGATTTCACTAAGAAAAACACTGCGACTTTAAATGAGCTAACCAAACCCTCTAAAAGAAGTCAAGCCGAGAGTCGCGCTTTAAACAAAGTGACAATGGTTTTCTCAACATTTTAACAGAAATACATAGTATTTTTCCTACACCACAAGAGTAAAAGTGTGCTTTACAGACCAGAAGGAAAAACACATTTTGACATACCTAATTCTACAACAACATGAAAGTAAATGGAAAATACTGTAAGCAATGACAATGAGGAACCAAATCCATGCAAAACAAAAACTATTTACAATATGAACATGAAAGGACGCAAGTTTATAATGCAGATTTTCAGCAGCCTCGTACGATGAATGAATGACCCGTGGATGATGATATGACTAATGACTGAGCAAAATGGTGATGTGAGAATGATGAACCTCAACGTAAACGAAATGAATAAATTTCACTTTTGTTTTCATTTTTTGAGAGGTTATTTGAAGGGAAAAAGTGCCAATATACATACATTTCTTACCTAAAATAAACACAAAGGCACTAAATAATTTATGCAATGTACTATATATGAAAGAAAAAAGAAAGAAAGAAAACTCTTGCATATTTTCTAATTATTCCTCCAAATTAAAGCTTTGAAATGTCAACTAATTTCACAAGCACAGACTGAAGGCCATTATCCCTTTTCACATGAAAGCATCCACATTTTATAGGTGTTTTTAGAGCTTATTTTTTTTCTCCATTCATGTCTTCTGTGACCGCATACTGAGTGCATCATAGTAACCAGCATCCAAAAGCTGCCTTTTAAAGAGCTGAGAACTGCCATTGTCTTGATTACTCAGAATACAACACACACAACAAAAAGAATCTCAGGTGCCATGGCTGGCCTTTCGAGCGCACACCACACAGCAGTTTCAACACCTTCAATCATACATCTTGCTGTCTTCAAAATATACATTCCTGTTACATTGGTTGCGGTGGCTGCGAACATTTTCGCTTTTGGCTTCAATAATGTGATAAAAAAAGTATTTAATTAGTCAACAATGCAACAATAAAAAGCCAAGAAACAAAAAAAAAGTGTCCTCCTGGAGAAATCTAGGTGTAAAACAAGCTTTGATTTGATGCAGTTTGATTTTGACTTTTTTCTCAATGTAGGAAATCTAACAATGCAAATACAATATGCAGGTGCACATTACTCAACCCACAGAAATGAAGATGTGGAAAAACTTCCCAATGTTAGCAGAATTCTATTGCATGTTTAACGAAAAAACAAATCTGAATTATATAAATGTGTGAACTTGAACAGGCCGGCCTCCTGTCCAGAATAAACCATTAGAAATCTGTGTGCCACTTACGAAGAGGTAGAAACTTGTAAATGGGTGAAATATGAAGCTCAAAACAAGGGTGAGGAATACCAAGTCTCAATAAGTAACAAAACCCAATGAAGGAAAGACAAGATGACAGAAAGAATATGGTTCCTGGGAGAGATGATGGGTCCACTGAAAACGCTACAAAATAAAATGAGACGCTGGGTTGGCAGAGGGGGGGAATATGCCATCTTTAACTTGACAAAACAAAAGCAAATTTTATAATGGCATTAAGGCTTAAGGACAAGAATGCAAACCAGTTCAACTTTGCATATTACGGAGGTCACTGCTTATTATGGGTGCCAGTTTTCTTTGAGCAAAACAGTTGTTAAAAATTATGAATTATGGTGCAGTATACTTGCAAGTGCAGCTACAAATAATTCCACACCTCACCGTCTTAACATAACACAAATCAACTTAAATGAACAAAAGCATCATGTAAGGAATATGACCAACAAAATAATATAACATTGACCAATTGGCCATTACAAATGGTGTTTGTTGAAAATGAGAACTTGTCATGCTTCAGACTACACACACTACTCTGAAACCATCTAAATTCACATCTAAACTAAGGCAAAAAAGGGAACAAAAGACTAGAAAGCTGGCTGCACCTCCATAATAAAAGATAAATCTACAACTTTTTCTCTACACAATGCCAAAGAGCAAGCTGAACGCCAGTAATACATTCTCAATAACAATAGTACAAGAGGCACAGATTCAAACTTATCACGCAGAAAAGAACACTCCAGGAGGTACTCGAGGATCGCTTACCAATTTCTTTGAACAACTTTTATATGCTCTCAAAGAATGAAATTAGATTATGTCTACTTTGTCGTATTTCGGTCTTCAAAGCCATCAATCGTAAAAATATTATAAATCTGGTTCTAATGGTTTCCAGTAACACCCGAATAGGGTTTGAAAAAGTAAATATTAAGTTGAGGACCAATATTGAGACGAAATCTTTCTTGAAGGATTAAATTAATAGTTCTTTACTAAGTCAATGAACACCCAAACCCTGCACATTACTGAAGTGAGGAGCAACTTGTTACACCAAACCCCAGCAACCAATCTGCTTTTAAAAACATCCAAACTGGCCTTTCAAAACCTTAGCAAACAGTCTTGTGCTGGTCCACATAGACACCTGCATTTGCTGATTACATGGAATGTCAGTAGCAAAAGGGCCAGTGCAGAATAAACATATTCCCAATGCACTAAATATTCAATTTAAGTACATAAAAACCAATGTTAGAGTTTATGAAAATAATATATATTTTTTCTGCATGCTCATGTAGATTAGTTAGACATTTTTCGGCAGTATCATTAAAAACCAGCCAATCAAAACTGCTGAGGGGAAGGTACGAACAAAAATAACATTGTGCTTCTTTACACACTGAACTTTTCTGAAGTTTCATATTAGTACATTTCTATTCTCAACTCATTCTGGCTTTTTCCTTGCTTCTCTGACTCTGAATAGCCTACCTCTTCTCTGTTCTATGGACATACAGCTTTTTCTACTTATAACATCTATAACCCTGTATTACTCAATTCATAGTAAACACGTTTCTCTTTCGTGAATTATTTAACCTTATATCAGTGGGAACACTTTATGTCCATGATTAGAGAGCTAAAGGAATTTTATGATTCATTTTGTAAAAGATTTGAAAAAAAACAAAAAAACCCAAAAAAAAACAAAGCCATTCAGTCAAGATGATCAGGCAGCCAAGTTTTCAAGCAACAGTGAGAGCAATTTGCAATATATCACTTATTACATTCCAACTTATACAGCCACATGTTCTTACATAAATGGCACACTAGAACTGAACATCAATTCTGCTGCATTAAGTATAAAATTAATCTTAAGAATATAAATATTTCCAGAAGATGACAACGATGAAACCACCAACTTTCATATATTTCACGCACATAAAATGACATGGCTCTTGACTCTAAGAGAAAGCATTGATTGAAATTTTCATAGTCTCACTTTTAGCAAACAAACATTTTTACTTCAAAACTTCACACGAAACGGAAGAAATTGTACGCAAAACTGGTCTTACACTGTGACGGATGAAAAAGAAGGCTTCAGGCATGGTCAGAGCAGAAAGCTCCTTTTTTCGCTTTCAAACATGCTGAGCGAACCATGCCATTCTAAGAGCTGGACCTGTGACGATGATGATGATGATCACGTCTGTATTACACAACAGGAACCTTCTCGGAGGAAAAAAAAGGAAATGATGTAGTCTTGATTTTGGAGCACGGTAGTTCCACCAACACACACCCGTCCGGGCCTGCTCAGTAGATGTAAGGGAAGATCCTGTACTTGACTCTCTCGCAGTAGCGATCCCATGCAGCCCCGTGCTTCTGCTGACACTGCTCGTTGTCGCGGCGCTCGCGGTGCACCAGGAGGACCAGGAAGTACAGCGGGTAGAAGTAGGGAATTATGTGGTGGAAACCTGGGAGAAACACACAACAAATAGGGAATAATAATAATAATAATAATAATATATAACATTAATATAGCGCATTTCCAACAAAAGTAGCTTAATGCGCTTTACATTGGAGTACCCATTTTCAAAACCTTTCTTACTACTTCCTTTCTTCTTATGCAATATATATAATTTATACACACACATGCACACACAAACAGACTATTTTCATTCAGACGTCGGCACAGAACAACTATAAAAAAAATAACGCTAAAAGCTTATGAAGGATAGGCCTGTAGGATCAGAAAAAGCTCAAGATGTCTTTTGAAGAACTCATATTATCAAACATTGTCAAGCCATGCAGTTGTACTGTTTTTGGCTTTTTAAAAACTTTATTGGTTATTTTTTATTTTAAAATATTTTTTTGTCAAGAACCCACTCCCCCCAGATGGCTAAACAAACAAATGGACTGACAACACTAGCATGAGGTATAATAATCCCTCTGTAAGCATCCCAGCTCTGGGTGCATATGTAACATTTTCTTAGGTTTTTCCATTCACATATTTTCTTCCCTTTCTCTATCATTCTAACCACAAGATCAAAGGCTCTATCTTCAAAATGGCACATGTTTTATGGTATGTAATAAACTTTTAGGAGCCACAAGAAGCTGAATGACTTGAGAACAAGTCATTCTGAACCTTCTTCTATAATGCAAATTAACTCAATGTTTCAGGCACTACCCCCTCCACCAAGAAACATCAAAAGTTATGCTGAGTTGGTAACTGAAAGGTTTTGAAACCTGCCAACAGCCCAATATTGTGTCCTTGGAGAAAGGAACTCCACACAAAATTTCCTTGCTTCACCCAAGTGGGAATAGGTAACCAGCCATAGACGGCAAAAGATCTTGTCAGTTTCTCAATGTCTGAGATTTAATCAGCGGCCACCAGAAAGCAAAGAGAGAGAGTTCTCGGTTCAGCTGGGGTGATGGTGAGTTTGTGTGCGTGTGCGCGTGTGTGTCTTGACCTCTGCCTAACCCCTGAGACTGACTCACTGATCTGATTCAACAGAACCCAGGTTAAGAAACACTGCTCTCAATAATTCTGAACAAAAATTGAGCCCAGCACTTACCTGTGCAAAGTGACCATGACAGAGCCATAATGAGATCCCCTAGGTAATTTGGTTTTCTGCATAGACCCCACCAGCCTCCAACAAGCAGTTTCTTCCCAGACTGAGTTGGGAGAGTCTCGATTCCTGGTGAAAAAATACAATCGTCTCTACATTAAGCTGTTACTAATTGGTCATTGCACTTAATTTGCGCCTTTTCTCAAAAAAGAAAAGACACTTTAAAAAAAGGGGAGATCAGGTAAAAAAGAGTAGAAGACACGAACACATGAAAATCAAAGAGAAAATTGGGGGGGGGGGGGGAGAAATAGGAGAAAAGAATGTTCAAGTTAAAAGAGAATAGACCAAACGACAAACAATACTGTGTGTCCTTGTTTGATAAATACTGGACACGAAAGATTGATAAGTTGCAGCATATTATGTTGAATTAAAATAATAAGCCACACCTTCCACGCAAGAAGTCAGTAAAAACGTTTTTAAAAAAACAAAGACATCATCAACTGAAGTTGATAGTCGAAGGTAGCAACCCATAACCTTCGAATTGTCGAGGAGAAAAGCAGTATATTTTTTTTTTAAACAAGGGGGGGGTCTTTTGTAAAGGTAATTATTTTGAACAAGTGGCTGTTCAAGCAGGTTCAGCAATACTCACAACAGTGAGGGTGGAAAGTAAAAATACAACTCAAAACATTTATTAAGGCCCATACTGTGATGGACCACGTCACTACACAACCATAGAAAAGGTTAACTACCGAAAACAAACACTGGCATTGATATACGTTTACTGAAAGTGAAAGAGTAACAGTGTTATCCTGTTGATCAAAACCTTTCAACAACTCTGGTAACTTATACTCTACGTGCATTGAATAAAGTCAAGGATTTCAAAACCATAATGGAAACATTTTTTTTTAAATTTCTATTATCAATCTTCAAAATGTCATGATAATCTAAAGTCATAAAAAGAGCATAGAACAATTCCCGGCATTACTATCTATACTATTCAACAACTTCTTCCTCTAAAACTCTCCTGCTGACCACCCATCCATCAAGTTTTTCTCCTACACAACTTGAACAACTAAAAATCCTCTCCACAGGGCCAATGACCCAGTCAACCTTAAGACAAGGAGAAACTTAGCAAGCTTGGGGTAAAGGAAAATATGCAATTAATGTCAACATTTCCAAAACTTGAAACATCTGATAACTAGACTTTATTCTATCATCATATCCTGTTTAGTAAAATGTGAATCACTGCATAGAAATTAAATTGTTGCTATAAAATGTAGAAGCCATATATTTCTTCGGTGTGAAACATGGAAATCACTCGGGTTAAAAAGGTAAGAGCAGGTCAGCTCTTTTGGCCTCAGCAGAGTCCAAAAAGATAGGACTTTTTTAATATTACTAATGATCACAGGATCACACCAGAAATAAAGGCACAAAACACTCACCAGCTAGAGCAGGATTCTTGGGGTCTTTTCTGAACAAGTTCTTTTGGGAATTGGACATCCTAAAGATTGCAAATCCTACAACTAGAAGGAAATAAAAGAAATAACATTTATAGACATATCCCTCAAAGTATTAAATAATAATCATCATTCATTGACCTCACTGACTAATTGAAAAAACTTAAGACACAAAGAGATATCAAGATAAGTTTCCAAATTAAAAAGATCAGTTATAACTTCAATACGGAAGAAATTCCACCTTTGAGTTTAACTTAGAATCAATGGGCAGGGCCTACCACGAAAAGTTTTAACCTGCCAACCACTTCATGACCAGAAATATTCTTCCTCATAATCTTCTTAAGGCCATCTGCTGGTGGAATTTCTAAAATCCATATCCCTTGACTATATGTAGCAAAGATGATATATTCATATTAGTCAGACATTAAAGAATTAATTCAAGTAATTATTTATTATCATAAGCACATGGTTACCATGGTAACCAAGCAAACATCCGCCATATTGGATATTTTATCAAATTTCAAAAGCTATCTTCTCTCTTAGTTTTCGTCCGTTGGCTTTCACTTTTAGCAAGTACAAACTACAACACCTATATAATGAAGAAATAACGCCAGATTTGTAATATTATTATTCAAAAAATAATTATGGACTCTGGAAATGTGTACATAGATGAAGAGCAAAAAAATCTCAAAATTCCCAACAAAAACACCGATTGTAAGTTTAATCTTAGAGTATCTTCAAAAAGGGCTCTATTTCAGTATAGGTCTCCATTGGATGTACATTGTGTTAAATAATGAAGCTATTCAGGTGGAAAAGAAAAGAAAAGATGTAATTTAAAGTCGAAAAAATAAATATTTTTTAAAAATTGAGAAAATATTAAAAAACATGACCCAAAATTGCAAAATATTTTTTTTAACCCATTTTTAAATGACTTTGAAATATAATTGATTGAAACGGACGCTTGAAACTTTGATGGAAATGGATGTAGGTTTCAAAAATGGAGAGGAAAAACTGTATGGTCAAACTGGGGAAAAATGGGGAAAATCTCACCCGCAGATGGCCTTAAAAATCAGTTTGGATTTTTTAAAATTGGAGTTTCCAAAATCCCAGTAAATTCACCATGGCAAATAAATAACAATGTGTATTGCAAAAAAATACAAGTAAAAAAAAAGTATATTATCAAGTCATTAAGATAAGTTGCTAAAATATTGCAAATAAACCTTCATATTACCACAAGGCTTACAAATATAGCAATAAACCTGTGCTTTTTTTTATATATTAACTTTAAGTTGCGTATGACTGATGTAAATGGAATCTGAGAAGAAAAATGGATTTTATGCATAAATAAATGTGGTTCTTTGATAGTTCCCCCCCCCCCAAAATTTTTTTTTAAGAAATTTTATCGGAGAACTTGGCATGTCTGTTCACACAGCAATTGTGCTCTACAGCTCTGTTTACATATGCCCATGAAACAGCAGAAATGATTGTTTAGGAAGAAATGAACCCCTCCCCCTGGCGGCAAATCTGACTTGCGGCCCAAATTTGACACATGAAATTTCAATAGTTGTAATTTCATAATAATAAAAGCAGTGAGAGTAGCCATATCATTCAAAGATATTTAAATAAAAATCTCTCATCAACCCCTATAAAAGAAAAAAAAATGCAAACTCACAGTTCAGTAGGGCGATAGGTGCTAGACAGTACCAGGGCAAAGTGAACCCACTCTCAAGCAGGAACCGTGGTTGCAGGGAGTACAAGAAGGGAACCCAGGCCAGATCGCCAAAGGCAAGCATGAAGCCAAAGCCGTCGTGAATGATGTCCATGGTAGTAAGAATAGCATCCTTCATGAGGAGGGAAAAAATTTAAAGGTTATCAAAATAATTTCAAAGTACTGAATATTAATTTAGTTTTTACAAAGAAAAAAAGGAGGAAAAAACCCAAATGTAGAAAGTGCTAAACAAACTGTCGACGCAATAATAAAGCATATCGTTCAAAAAGTGTACTCCATACTAAAAATAAAACTTAGTACACCTATAAAGGCCAAGACATAAATGCCTCCATTTCACGGACATGTTTATAGTTGACCAGTTCCCCACTCTTCATATATCATCATAACAGAATGTAAATCATGTGTAAACAGAACCACCCCCCCCCCCCCTTAAAATCAACCAAATACTCATCAGACAGATGGCCCAGTTGACTTTCATAATTCAGTTAGGGTCAGCAAAATAACAGACTTTTCACCAGAAACAGAATAGGGCAACACAAACATTGAAAAGAAGTGTTTGGAGAAGACTATACCAGAGCGCCCATGGCGATATGCAGACAAAAAGGAAAACTAAGATAATTTTTTTTTTCCGTTTCAGTAAGAGTTTAACGGCACTTGCAACACAATAAGGTCATACAAGCACCGAAGATTACAGGTGCTACAAAATCATAACAAAAACACACAAAAAAAGAGCAGAGATCGGGACGGTAGATGTGTCAGAGGAAAGCAAACCATTCCAGAGCACCTACCAACCAACCACCCACCACAATAGAATATTAAGTAGATTGATAATTAGTGTCTGTGAACAGCAATCCAACCAAAAAGTCAGCTTACCTCAAACCAAAGTGCATCTGCAACATACAGAGTCTGGAAAAACGTGGCGAGGATCAGATTGGGAGGCCACACTCCAGTTTCCTGGTAGGCTTTGACGACCATGATCCAATCCAGCACGACCCATCCAATAAGGCCTGGCCTCAGTTCAAAGAAAAACTTGAGATCCAAGGGTCCAATTCTTGGGTTAAGTTCGCGACCAATAAAAAAGTCATAGATGTGATTGCCTGAAATGAAAATACACATCACAGTTACAACATTGAAGTGAATATGACTATCAAAGCATCACTGTTTAAACAGAACATAGTGCTTTTTTTAGACAACCTATGAAAATAATAGTACTATGACAGAAAAAACATGAAGTAATTATGATACAAAGACTTGGCTCCAGAATTTTAAAAATATTTAAACAACGAAAGAAACCCAACCCCTTTTCGATTAGTTTATTTTCTCAATCTGGAAAGAGACAGACTAAAACAATGTCAAAACAAGAAACAGAACCCCAATATCAAACAAGGAACTGAACCTCAGCAATTACCAACGGAGTGGTTCCCTTTACAACCATCTGGTACCATATGCTAGGTCGTCATTAGGTCCGTGTTAAAAACATTTTCAAAGTGAATATCAATAAAGTAGCATTTCCATTATGACTTCTCCTTGAACCTACAACACAACATGAAGGAAAATAATGAGCACAAATTTTAATTCATACCTGTGGTTCCAGTGGAAGCCAACTTTTTCTTGTTGACCAAGAAAGAGCTGACGTACAGACATATGCTGAGTGTAAATGAAAAGAGAACAGCTGCCGTCATGTACTTGAAAAATTTGTCCACAACAAGGGTGACGGGACATTTGAAGTAAACAGCTGCTCCCAGGGTCAACAATGTAATGACAAAGGCAATGAAACCTGAAAAGGAAAGGGGGAAAAAAGAAGATAAAGTATTGAGTTGGGTCAAAGAGAACTAAAGACATGACACAACTCATCTTCTTTGGAGTTAAAACAGAAGTTTTCCTCAACATTGTATGCACATAACATTACTCGTAAAATACTAATTTGGTCTTTCTTCCATCTTTTTGTGACTAAGCTCTATTTACAGTATCCCAGTATCCATTTTCTTGATAGTCAGTACAATCATTCGAAACACACGTTTAAACCAGCTCCACATTCTAATTAACCATAGTGTGCTTTTACTGGAAATGAAACTCACACCATTTACATTCTTTACTGAAAGTCTCCTTTCGCATTTACTGGACCAGTGTCCCTCAATATTCAATCAGCCATATGCCCTTTTTTGTGCTGGGCGTGGTCAAACATCTGACAAATATGCACAGCTGCCTCCCGCAGGTGAAACCATAGGTCACACTCTCATACAAAAACACTAAAGAAAGCAAGAAACAAAGTGGTAAATGTAGCAGTTGACTCCACAGGACATTCTAAGAGAAAGTCATGGATACCTTTACAAACCCCCCAAAAATAGAAAATCATTTCCAATGACTATTATCATAACCATTATACTCAAAACTCTCAGTAAGCCACCAGACAGGCTGTCCCACCTGTTTTTATCTCTCCAAGAACATGTATTACTCTCCGCTGCACCCACCAGTCTACCTCGACAGAAATCCCAGGGTCTCAAATGGTTCTCTACATCAACAGTGAGCAACATTAGCTGGTCACTATAACAATGTCATAGAGAGCAAAGACAAAGAAGAACATCCCCCCACCTCCAGCCTAAATCTAACTTCAGACTTCTAGAACGTTTTCTTCCACATTCATTGTCATTTTTTGCTCTTCCCCCATGAACAAAAGTTCCCTGAGCTTACCATTGCATCGATACTTGAGACGACCTCCTGACTTGAGCGGCTGACCCTCAACCACACGGCCTATGGGCAGCACAGCAAGGAGAGCTTGGAATGCAATCCATGCAAGGAAGATCAAAGTGACTTCAACATCCAAAAATGCAGCCACAATGTTCCTTGGAAGCTTAGGAATGACCAAGACTGAGCAATTTCCCTGGGAGACGAGATCAGATGATGATATAATGTACATGTAGTTACATGTTTATACGAAACACAGAAAATATGATATTTTTATAGGTCAAGTTCACAGTTCCCTTAAAACTTCAAAGAAATGCATAAAACTGACATACACTCAATTTACAGGTAATTAGGTTTGACAGGGAACAAAGAAAACAAAACTGAAACAGAACCTTAGTTTGAAGTTTCATTAAGGAATTAAAAAGCCACAAATATTATTTTGAAATGTGTTCAGGTTAAAACAGATCCCCAATATCATATCAAGATCCATTACAATAATAGAAAATGTTTTTATACAATCTACATTATATTGGAGTACAGAGAAGCACATCGACACTTTCGCCGCCATTTATTTAGTGCAGAGAAAAAGTAAGACAGGTAGACAGAAACAAAAAAGGGAAAAGAGAAAAGTAGGACCTACCAGTGGAACCCATCAATAATCAGTCTATATAAAAACAAGCAATGATAATATAAACTCTGTGGCTTGCTGCAACCTTTCAGTAACACAGAGCAAAAACCAATGACTAGCCCATCTACTTGACTGAGATGATAAAAACTTTCAGAAAAATGCAAAACAAAGGTAAGGGGGGAAATCCACCTCAGATGACATACATACATTGCATCCCTATCCAACTCAATAATTACAAAGATGAACAAATAAATAATAAGACCTCGGAAATATATAAAGATTCATTTATTCTGGCCTAGTCATTTTCAGCAGTTAAGATTCATTTGGAACATTTTTATGATCTTCTTATCCTTTAGTGACAAAGTTAAAACGGAGAGATCATCCAGGACAGTCTCATGTCTGACCCATTAAAGAAAACAATAGTTATTGTACTTTAGAACTGACAGTTATCCCTTGAAAGGAAAGAACATCTTGTACTTTGCAAATGCACACAATTTTTTAACGTTACAGAAAACGCAACATTGATACCTATGTTATTTTTTCATCAACAATCAAACAAATACTCTGGCATTCATATGACCTTATGCAGTTGCCAGCGTCGTAAAACCTCACTAAAACAAACAAAACAAATACTAGTGTTCAAAAATACTTTTACCCACCTTTCTGCAAGCCATGTTCACATAGTACACAGTGAGAGGGAGGAGAAATATAAGTAGAAATGCTCCAATGGGTCCCATGAATTCATAGTGGACAGCTTTTTCTTTAGGTTTGCGCTCCTCTGAGTCAGACTTCTCTGGAGTTTTGATATTAGCCATGACTTCTGATTTCATTTGCTCTCGAATCCGAGACGATTCTTCTCTCTGAAAGAGACAAAAACATGAGTTAGTGCTTCAGAACTGTGCAATGTTCAGACTGCCTTACGCTCCCATACACAAACAGAGCTAATTAAATTCCAAGTATAGAGAAATTGCTGGGCAAAAGTCAAACAAATTATTCTTAAAGTTTACCTGTACCATTTTCTTACTTGCAAAATTTATAAAGCTGTCTGAAACCAGTCCAAGTCAGGTAAATGCTTTTAGCAAAACGAACAAATAAACAACAAAAAATATTGCAATGTATTTTCATTTCTGCATTTTGTTTGAACATTTCAAACTTATAGGAAAACATCTATCAACTGAATCAACTATGCCGAATATCTCCACTATTTCATAATCCTAATAGCACTCAGACTGTCCCCGTGGTTTTAAGCATCCCGCATAATATAGCAAAATTTGATCATTTTTTGCATAATTTCGGATTATTTTCCTTTATCATTCTGTGTTAAAATTAACAGAATTGCATAATTTCACATTTTTGGGCTCATTTTGCATAATTTCAGAATTTTTCTTGCATAATACCACAGGGACAGCTAAGACAAATCAGTAGAGAAAACATCTGCTCCTTACCTCCTTCTCGATCAAAGAGGCAATCCTGGACGACGAGCGAACAGGTGTGACTGAGGCTTTCTGTTGGCCCTCGGACGACCCAGACGAGACGTACGTCCTCCTGGTCACCACGGTCTCGGTGACCGTTGATGCTGCTGCTGCTGCACCTCCGGCAGACTGGGTCACAACAGACTTCTCAGAAGACTCTTTGACCCTCACTCTGGACGGGGACTTGGACGTGCTGCGACGAGTTGGGATTCTCGACGACTGTGGAGAGTGGAGGTAAAGTTCAACAAAATGAAGGACCGGGAAAAGCACAAAATATGAATTATAATTCATATTAACTTTTATAACCAAGAATTAATGTGGCGAGGTTTGAATTCTAGTCGTGGGTGGTTAGCGGGTGCTCTGGTGTGGTTTGCAGCTTCTTTCCTATTAAACATCTATCGTTCTTATCTCTCCTTCTTTAAAGTGTTGCTACTCTCTTGTAGCACTATGACTTTAATTGTGTTGCAAGAGCCGTAAAACTTTTACTAAGCCGAATTCTATGTCCCGGACGTACATTGTTTAATCGAGAAAGACACTTTACACAAATTCTCTTCATTTCACCCCGATGGAAATGGGTACCCTGAAATTACTGTCAAATAACAATAAGCACTTCGCACCTCAATGCCTTCCAGTAATGTGAGAATACTTCAGAATGTCATATGATCAACCAGGAGGGTAATGATAAATCAAACAGCCCCTAAAGTCTGCTACCCAGTAAGGATATATTGTGCTTTATAAATTAAATGAATAGATATAATTACTTTTATATTACAATTGTTCCGATACTAGCTGATGGCTATGCTTTATTATAATATATATCATCATCAAACAAGCTATCAATTCAAAAATATCATAGACCAGACCTGAATACCACTCCATGACAAAAAATAAAAGCTTTCCTCAAAATCCTCCAACAAAATAAAAGTTTCAGGGAGGGAAAAAATCAGTATTCTTTTTAGTTTTAATAAGTGTTTTACGGCACTCGCAACACAATAAGGTCGTATAAGTGTCGAAGATTAGAGGTGTTACAAGAGAGTAACAAACACAAAATAAAAGGAGGGGAGATAAAGACGATAGATGTTTGATAGGAAAGAAGGAGCAAACCACACCAGAGCATCCACCAAACACCCACAATCAGTATCCAGGACCCCAGTAGATCAAGATATCATAAACCGGCAGTGGCAAATAAATTAAATATAGCAAACACACAAATAAAAAAATATTTTTTCAAGTCATCTACAATACGTCAAGCAAGTACATGCAAATTAATGCAAATAAAAATGAGCAATTTCACACAAGTTATGAAAAATCGCACACGACCTGACGGAAACAGAAGGGGGTGGTTATCTTGTTCTTTTCCCCCCCATCATTAAAATAATAAAGCTAATTTCACCTAAGTACCTGATAAAAGCCTTCAGACAGCCCAAAACTTTATTTCAGCGAAAGCAAACACAAAACTGGAGAATGGCACATAACAATAAACGTATGAGACCACCACAATGGACCATAACATATTGTGCTCAAGAAACTTAGTGATAACCATCCCCATTCTCCCTCTAGAGGACTAAAAGACACTGAGAACACACTGAACAAGGGCCCCTTCTAACCACACACATACTCTTGGATAAAATCTGACAGAAAAGTTAAAATATAAATAATATATCAGTCATCTGAGCCTTTAAGTTTTCCTAAATCAGCTAACACCGGGCGCACTCATATGACCTCATGCAGTTGCGAGCGCCGTAAAACCCTTACTAAAACAAAAACAGCTAACACCATTACATGGCACCTAGGACAAAGACCCCGACATCCAAAGATCAATAACAACCTTTTTAATTCCACAGCAGTACTTACAGTTCTCACAACTTCTTTCACCTCTGTGACCTTGGCAGCTGTGGCTTTAGTTTTTCTGCCGCTGCTTCTGCTGCGGCTGCGAGAGGCAGATTTACTGCGAGCTCTCGTCCTGGCTCTCGCAGGTGACTTGGACTGAAGATTAGAAAGTACAGAGCTCATTAAAAATCATCAAACAGATATAACATTAATGGACACACATGAAAGAGTGGTCAAAACATCTGGAATACTAAATGGGGGTGAAGTAGCAACCGCAACACCAAAACCTCATTTGTGTCACGACACGGTAGAATCAAGCGCTTGCCAATCTTTGGGCATGTGGAGTTACAAGTGTCATCTGAAAGCTTATTTATTTGCCTCGCTTTCGATGAAAAAAATACCTTTTATCTATCTTAAACAGAAGTTGAGATATTTGCAATTGAAGGAGGTGGGGTCGCCTGGTTTCAGAGGTAGAATACACGAGAAAATGGCCGTCAAAGTTTGGTAATTTCAACGGCTTGTGAGTTCTTGAAAAATGAAAATTTACACATTTTGCGCCTTTAATCAATGTTTTTTTCAGTAAAATTCACATGGAAATGTGTTTTTATACAAACATTAAAGGTGTTGATAAAAAAAAATTTTTAAGAATTTTTTTTAAATATTGTCAAGCGGCCAGAAAAATGCAGTTTTCATTGATTTCATTATTTTGAAGAGCGCCTGATTTCCCCACAATGCATCACATATTATTATCAAACAATACAAATCTGAAGAGAAATAATATATCAACAACAAGAGCTGCAGCAACACAATATTTCACTGGGAACCGCCAAAAAAGTTGTAGCATAACACATTCTCTCCACAGACCACCCGAGTCTCCTTCATGCGACAGTGAAGCATCTTATTGCTACACAACAGACGCTGATAAAGAACCCGTCCCTAACTAGCATACCAAAAAAAAAAATTCTTCCCACACCAGATGATAGAAAATTAATGTGGTTTTTTTTTTATGTAAGTGTTTTTACATCCTCGTGGACACAATTTAGATCATTTAGAAGGAGGCAGACTTCCTTCCTCGCCTGTCACAACCAGCCCGGGCTTAGAAGGAAACATCCCAGTAAAAAGACCCAGCAAATAGACCTGTGGCACCTCACAAAATTTTCTCCCCACTCAGGAATTGAACTCTGGGTCTCCTGCGTGCAACAGCCTAACCACTGCACTACAGATGACCATGCAAAGAAAATGAGAGGGTTAAAAAAACCATAAAACTCAAAGAGTTACAGAGAAGTCCCTTTAAAATAAAAAAAATTAACTCTTACAACCACCACTTGCAAAGGGAGAAAAAAGGCAATCAAGAAAGTTTGTTGCTTTTTATTGAACGCTGGACAGAAGTTCACAGCCCTTACTTGCAGGACAAGAGCAAGATGCGATGAAGCAACCAGAGGCACCCATTTCCACTAGCATACAAAAAAAAACAACACCTGAAGAATGTGTAAAGGGAAGAAAGGCTGGACGGTGGTGAAAGTAGAGAGTAGAGGGAAAATCTATTACACACAATTACCCAACTTGATCGGTAAGCAACTTTTAACTTTCAGCTTATCTTCTCGACTGATCACACAACGACATAATAAAACAACGAAGCTCCAACCAATTCACTCACTTCAGCTCCACTCGAAATTTGTGAAGATATTTGTTCAACTCAACGACTGACGTGTCGATGGTGACTACTTTACGTAAACTGCGAGAAATGGAAGGGTTCAATTATCATATACGGGTATCGAATTGGCAGCTGAGCTTCATAACATCGGCCTCATCATGCGATCGAGCTATCGTGCGTTGAACGGGGTCAACAAGTGGAAAGGTCATGAATGTCAGGGCAGCGACCTTTGCATTGTTAAAGTAGGTCGGTTTTGATAGTCTGTTTTAAGGGATGTTCTATCGATGAAATGGACTACGTAAATAGATATGTGATCAACAACCTCTTTTGTCTTTACTGGCGTAGATATAGATATCTATTTGTTTTGATACTGGGGAATATTTGTTTTCCCGAGATCGAAGTCCTGAGTGATTCATCGGCGGGGGCGTAACCGAGGTAACTGAACAGAGCTGACTTGGGAGATAAGTTTGGTTTCTCTCCCCTTGTTCGCGTGACATGGAAAAAATAGTCATTCGCAGTATTTCTTACCTTGTATTAATATTCTTCTTTTTTTTTTTACATTTATCATTGTGTTACTGTTCGTAGACTACATTTCTGAACTAGCCTACCAATCACCGAAAAAAGCACCAGAAGCATGTAAGAAGGAGTGAATGATTCACGTTACCTGCACCGTAAATAACCAATAGCCGGTACACACCTTTGATGTTTGGTCGGGTTCAGGTGCACTAAGTATTATTTAAGTAGGCCAAAGAACGCCAAAGAGTAGGAAAAAGAAGACAAACGAAGACAAGATTTTATAAGTTTCTTTCCAATAATTGCTTGGTTTCTATAAATGATATTATTATATAAATGTACATGTAAACTTAATATATGCCATTTGTGTGTGTGTGTGTGTGTGTGTGTGTGTGTGTGTGTGTGTGTGT